GACAATGTGCATGCTCGCATACGAGTCACGTAGCGCACATTGTCTACAGTACGGTGGCACTTGTTATATAAGCCATTCAAGGTGGCACGATGACGTTATTCGAAGGTGCGCCGAGAGCTCATCCTGTTCTTTCATTAATAACGATCCTCGGCGCGCGCGGCTTCTCTCTGTGTCCGAGAAACGCAGTTAACGGTGCCTTCTGGAATTTCAGCAAATTCCTCGTCCTCTCCTTTGGCTCAATTTTCCGTGCACGGCGAATAGCTTCGCATGCCGCAGAATTACAGACATTGCTTAGTATTAGTTGTTCAAGCAAGACTTTTTGACGAAAAATTATCAAACACACGATTGCAATTCTAAATATATTTGTATAAAACATTGATTTCATAATTTAATATTGACGGTGAATAGGATTTTAAAACAGATTTTTGTATACAATAAATAATAAAAAAATTCAAAAATTTCGATAGAGATAGAAATTTAAATGAATATTTACCATAAAATCGTTAAGCTAGATTAAGTGCCAAAAATCTGCCAATAATAATTTGAAAACATAATATGGAATAGTAATTGAATATTAATATAAAACCATATAATTTATGCATAATAATTATCAATTTAATTTGCTTTGTGTCAACATTACGTGCTTCATTTGTTTCAAACAGTTAAATTGAATTGATAACGCTTTACGTATCAATTACACATTCTATCTAAAAATGTCACTGATAATAATTGATTTTTGATAAATTATCTAAATTACTAAAAATAATTTATTTGGTGACATAGAATACAAAGTAAAATATAGCATACAAATATTGGATTTGTAATTTTTGATAATTTTTTAGCAGATAACGCAAGTTGACATTTATCAAAGAAGAATTATATTGATAATATAATTATTTGACAGATCATTATATGTTGATAAATGATTTAAAAAATGTGAGATGCAAAGAGATGTATATATCTTTTTATACTTTAAACGCGAAATATATGCAAATGTTTTCGATATACATATATAAATGTAAATTTTTAAATTCAAACATTGTTACGTTTAAACGTTGTTACGATTGAATAGGTTTTATCCTATATCGAACTAGTCAATTAAAAACATAGCTGTTACATCATTTAGCACGATTCTTGCCGACAAGTTGACATGATATATTGCTAGGTGAGACCGGATCTTTATCGGAAAATTACACTGCATTTAGGAAGAATTGATATAAAAAGAAGGACGTTACTTTTTTGTTTTATATTACATTTAAAAATTGTTTAAATGTTGGATTAATAATATTATTTAAAATAATATCCTTAAACACATAATTAATATTTTATTAAATAATTTATTATCGTGCTTTGTTACTTATTTTTACTTTCGTAATAATGTAACGCAATCATTATATAGCCTGAAAGTTTGTGAAAGCTGATAGCGCTCCGAGAAAAAGATACGATTAGAATGCTTGTGTAGCTCGTTGTAATTAAGACCGCATTGTCTTCGAAGTAATTTATTATTCAGAAAGTTTCGGAGTAATGGCATAGGGAAGAGCGGATAGATTTGCATTAACGCATTTCATTACAAATAATTTCTCCACTAGAACTCAACCGAAATATTATATGTAACACTATAATATAAAATAATATAACGCTTTTATAATATTTCCTTCTCCAAATTTTTTTAATGGGATTTGAATTTGTACATTTGTTGGAAAAAATTATTAAATTAATAAATATATTTATTTCAGTACTGCCTAATAAATCATTTATTTGAAACAAATAAATATTTATTTGTTTTAAAAAAGATTTTCTTATATCAAATAAATATTTTTCACATCAAATCAATATTAATAGTTTCAAATAAATGTTTTATTAGGCAGTATTGAAATAAATATTTATTCGAATTTAATACATTTTTTTCAGTGTGAATAACAAGGAAAAATTTTATTTTACTTTTCTGTTTCGGGATCTTCAGTTAATCTCAATTATAACAATTACATCATATACATATATTTAATTTGCTTCTCTTACTTTCGCGTCCTTCGCGTGCATAAATTCTCAAATGCAGTATTTTATGATAAAAGTCCAGACCCCACCTGGTAATATATCGCGTCAATTTGTCGACAAGAATCGTGCCTATGGATGATGTAATGCCGATACTTTTAATGGACTAGTTCGATATACGATATAGCATAGAACCATTTCAAAGAATTGCGAGGGTGTGCCGTTATACAGAATACGATCATCGTTTAGGATCGCGAAGGGAGAATCGGGAAACCTAAACTAACAGATAATTCATCGATAATCTGATGTTATCTGATGAGAGTTTTAAATGTTGAAATGTAAATATAACGCTATAGAACATTTATTGGAAGATTATATTAAAATATTATATTAAATATATATAAATTGAAAAAAGAAATAAATATGAATATAACAAAACTTTCATATTTAATTCCAAGTTAAAAATCATCACATCTTTCTAAAATTATTATTATAAAAAATATATGCAAAAATAAAAATTATTTCCTGAAAATATAACATACACATGCGTATGTGTGTGTATACATGTATATATTGATATGTATCAATTTTTAGTTATTATGCAAATGTGCTCCAAAAATTTATTCAAAATTTCAATACCGTCGCGCAACAATAATTCATAATAAAAAATGTAGATGTTTCTCTGAAAAAAAAAAAAAAAAAAAAATATACATGCAAAAAAAAAAAAAATAAAAATCCACATGCATAATAGACCCGTTGAAAATCTGGTGCAAATTCCATGTTGTAATTAAATGACGATTGATTTCCGGCGGGTAATCTGACAAACCACTTATCACCGGGGCCAATCTCGCACTATGTACGTACGTTCTATCCACAGTCAATGGCACGACGTAGCTCGCCGTCATCTGAATCATCTCGACTATCTAGACCGTATTGATCGCGGCCAAAGCAGCTGTAGCCGTACACTCTGACAGTAACGTTGGGGCGGCCGTACGGAAAACACACGTGTTACCCGAGTAGCGGTCACGATGGAGTCGAACTCGGCGTCCCTTTCGATGAACAAAGCGAATCGTTGAAATCTGCTGGACGTATCCTGACCGTACGAATCCCATGTAAATCATTTCCGGTTTTTCTCAGGGGGAGGCATCTTGGCGGCGCTTTTGTCGGTCGCGAGAAACGCGTTGCGGAAATTCCCGCCGTCAGAAGGTTCGACGAATTTCGCTCGATTTCATCGCGATTGATTGCGGTTTTTGCTTGGACGTGTGCGGAAATAAATCTCGCTCATCGACGTTAGTCACGCTCGTTTCATTCCTCCCTTCCCACCACCGTTTCACGCTTTTTCTCGTCCATGTGATAAGTGAAAGGTCGCGCAGTTATCATGGTTGATTCTACTATGTCGTTTACCACAAAAGTGTCTTTGGCGTGGATGACTGGTTTTTACAAATTATTGTTGGATATTGGTGTATATGTATATCAATCGAATTAATTTTTATATTTGTACGTTTGTAATGAGTGATGTTGATAGGACGTTCTTTAGATGGGATATTTTTTGATATTGTATTTTTATATAAATTATAATATTTTTATTATTTCGTATAAATATTTGATCACTACTTTTTGAGAATCGGCAATATTAAAAAAAATACCAGACATTGATAATTTTATCAGCGCACGCAGCTGTTACCACCCACAAAACAGTGATGTATCTTGTAAGATATTTATGTTTGAAAAACCAGTTAGGTAAACATAGCACATCGCATGAATTAAATGCATAAAGTGCATAAAGTTTGCGCACAATAATTTTTTACTTTAATCGCAAAATTCTGCAAATAAACTCAATCGAGTATTCTCATACTTTATATTAAAAATATTTACTCTCTAACACATATTTTTATTAATATATATCTTGTCATAAAAAAAACCGTTTCCGTGTTAGTACTCCATCGATTGTAAGCAATTTTTTTCTGCAAAGCGTTAAAAGTACGAGACACAAAGAGATGGTCGTATAAGTACGAGGGTAAAGAGCCTACGGTCGATTATCGTTCATCTCACCGAGTGGTTATCGCATCTTTCAGTGGGAAAAGCACTGACGCGAAGGAAGAGAGGAGTAGAAATTCCACGTTCCTTTCCTCAGGCTCTACAATAAAGATACGCGCGTCTATGCATTATTTTTACAATATTTTTGCAAATATCAAACGTTTCTTCAAAAATAAAATCGTTTTAAATTGCTAAATACAACTCACATTTTCTGCGTATTTTCGTTATCGTTATACTTATCAAGTACAAAAGTGCACATTAGTGCGCCTTTGCATTATTATAATAAATTATTAATCTATTTTTGCATCGTCATTTTGATTTATTTAAATTCGAAGTTATTGTGTATTCAAATCGGTCAAGAATCCATCTAAATTGATTAACTAGAAGAAACTTTTTTATATATACGTACCAAGAAAATTGCATATATTCATAGATGTCAAGAACGTGGATATATTTTTCTTCAGATAAGATCGTACGTGAATATAAATTTTTATTTTACTTTTAGAATACGTCTATTTGCGTAAAACGTTAGTGACCGATATGTCTGCATGCCGAGTTCACGTGACACGCCTGGCATGTTCGAATTCTCGCTGTTCGCGACGTTTCAGTTTCGACAGTATCAGCGGTAAGAAATGACGTGCAAAAAAGTCTGTTTCGTCTCACGTTTACCGTCATTTTTTTCCCTTGTCGCTACGTGCTAATGAAAGAATCGTGCTAATTCGATGACGTAATACTTCCACGTGCTAATTTCAAAACGTTTAAATGACGCTCAAATTGCCGATTAACGATGGTGTTCGTTAGTGTTGTGAAACTCGATCATAAATGCTTGTATAAGTTATTATTAATATTATAATTTTTTATTTATTACTCTATGTTTAAATTACATTATCTATTTAAAAATATATAAAAGATTATAAAAAAAATATATAATCTTACAATTAGAAAATCTTTGTACTTCTTGATTAAAAAATATAAAAAAATAATTGTATATTAAAACAATACATACTTTCTATTTTTTGTATTGAAATTACAAATGGAAAGATAATGACTTGATAATTGGAAATATTTCCAGGACATTTTACTTTTATTTCGAACACGGAACCTTATACTTGTCTACAATTAACGCGTATTTTATGCGTTTAGTTGCGAAATCCTCCCATTCGTTCTCGTATCATTTTAATTGCTCGTGAGAAACTCTGTCCACAAATCTTATTTTTATTTACTTATAGATACGGAGCATACATAGGTAGGCATTATAGTCGTGAGCGAATGAGATTCGCCGAGAATAAAAGAAGGCTAAGCGAACTGGATATTAATTGTTGAAGGAGTATCGTTGAAACTGCGGCGAAAAGAGAGAGAGAGAGAGAGAGAGAGAGAGAGAGAGAGAGAGACATGTTGATGGGGAGTGTATTGGTTCTGTTTGTGCTCATTAATCAGTTCAATTGAATAACGTATTAATACTCCGGGGTCATCGCGAGGGTTAATCGCAATGTCCACGCCGGACACGATGGATACCATCGACGAGGCGGAACAAGCGTGGCGTGAGTACAAAAATAAATATTTCATCGGTTTTTTTTAGATACCGTCTCTTTGGACCGCGAAAAATTCACGACGGTTCTTCGAAACGATCGAAATTTGTAACAGAAATTCGAGAGGAAGTTAATAACATAATACACATAATAAATTAATTTAAAAACATTTTCTGTCTACTGTATAAACAAAATCGTAAAAAATAATTAAAAATTGTTTAAATACATTTTTAAAATTTTTATATCTTTTACTTTGCAAAATTTCTACGAGTTTCTGTATAGCATATGGAGTTGTAGACAACATTCTGACAAATATTGATTTATATTTATTGTAGTAATGATTAATTGCTGATAAAAAAAAGCGATCACAGATGCGATTCATAAACGGAATCATGATATATGGGAACTTGACTTACGGATTCCACAACTTTCGTTTAATATATTCCATGAATTTCAAATGGCCAGACGACAGTGCGAGGCAGTAAATCGTGCGATAGCTATTTTTCTTATTCTACTAGTACTGTTCGCGGGAAATACGAAGCATAAAAGATCCGACTGATAGACATGCGAAATTATACGCACACATGCATGCACAGTCGGTACCACGTGGATCATCTGGTATTATCTCGTTCGACACACACCGGGAAAAGAGTTTAATTTTTATCTTGACAGAGTGCGGAAACTTGGAAACCGTGACCCAGTTCGCTCTATTTCTGCATGAAGAAATTCGTAAACACGTACATTTTTGACACGCTAGTTAAATACGTCAAATAAATCGCGTGCTTTTCGTTTGCCAACTAAATTGCGCGAATTGCCATAATTCAGGTCTATCTATGTACATGACACTGTAAATTATGAATGTGCTACTCGTGCAGGGTTTGGTTAGTATATCGTTGTATGATTGATAAGAATGATATTGAAACGCTTTTAGTACGCGTGCTAGTCTTATTTTGCAGCAATAGAGAAGCGTATATATATAAAAGAAATATTCGCTATAAATTTGCAATAATATCATGTCTTTAAATATTTTTTTACATTAATATTAAATAAGCAAATAAAAAAAGTTAACATATAAATTATATAACAATTTTTATTTTTTTCTTAATAATGTGCTATATGTAAATTTTATATTAAAAATTTTCCTGTTTTACAGTATAAAATTGCTTATAATTCTGAAAGTTTAAAGAATATATAAGCTTATGATGACTTTTATTCGAGCATATAATTAAAAAATTAAATTAATTTCTTATTAATATCGCTGCAGAAATAAATAGTTCGTACTTTTTTATTTTATTGATAATAAGTTCTGAGAAATTCTGCTTCTAAGAAAGATTAAAAAGAATTGGCCGGGGATGAACCTTACAAAGGATAAGATTGTTAGAGCCAAGTTGCGTCTTTGCAACATGGTAAATAGCAATTCTCTTTTACAGATGAGATGCTGGAGTGCGAGACCGGGTCTCTTTTGGGCAGAGTGGCGGATCTCGAGAGGCAATCCTTGGCGCAGAGAGACGAGATAGTATGTCTTCGCGCCACTCTGGCGGACGCGCTAAGGCGAATTGCCCAGCTCGAAGCGAGAGAGAAGCGGGAGGATGATAGAAACGAGAGGAGAAACGAGAGAATGGTATCCTCGCCTCTAAGGAACGGCCATGTACCTCTCAGAAGTAAGTTGGCAAAGTTGCACAGTCGATTACGGAAGTCTGTTAAAATGCCTCAACTCCTCGTAATTCACGTCTACGAATCCGCGGTACCTTCCATATGTGTGTGGAAAATTATTCAAAATTAATCTCTTAAGCTGAATCAGTGAAAATGTCACCGATTAAAGCAGAGATTTCGTTGAAGCTTACAAGTGAATTTTATTCTTTTTCTCTGTCCAGATAATACTGTATTTTATTTAAGACAATATTTATACAAAGATATCTCCTAGAATTTTAATACCATGTAACAAGAGAGGTATCATTGTCAGTGAGAGATATATATTAAATAATATAATTAAATTTTTGAAAAATTGAGAGTACACTTAATAGTATCAACTTTTAATTCTATTATAAAGTCCTATAGATTAAAATATTTATTATTGCTTAAACGATTAATCCTTAACTCTTATGATTTATTTCATTGTCTCCCTTTTGATAAAATTCTGTTAAAAAAGCTACATTGATCATTGATTTTATCTTCTACAATTTGACTCAATAATTAACAAGCATGAATAAAAGAGTAGTGTTTCGTTCTTGATAACGAAAGGAAAGTTGATTCGATTGATCGATGCGTGACCCGTAAACAACATCGGATTAGCCGCACCTTTGCTGGTATCCAGACCACAAAAGGCGCACTCTATTTCTCATAATAATCGTTAAATGAATATTTCAGTTATTTCATTATTACGTTATATACGTTATAACCAAACAGTACCGAAAACCGAGTATATATCAATAATTTGATATATAATTATTACATATAAAATTCTCGTTTCAATAACATTTTTTAATGAATAATTGTTAATTTTGGAGATCAGGTTATTTATAAAATTAAATTTATTATCTCAAAACTTAATAATTATTGAACTAAAGAGTTTGGAGTTGGATTTCATTCTTCCATCCAACAAGAGAATTCCTACTTTCTTTTCACTACAAATTTTAGTATCTTATTTCTGTTCACGTGAAAAAAACAGAAATAATACAGCTTGCTTCCTTTTCCTCTCACTGATTTCTCTACAACAAGAATATATAATTAAATTTTATTCCGACATACGATGGCGTATTTGGTTTCACGAGATCGCGGAATGGATGCATTGCACTGTTGCGAGATGCAAATTAATATATCGATGTAAGTGCAAGCGCCGATCGCATATCTAATGCAACCTAAGTCAAGCATGCATTTCTAATGGATTTGTGCACGCCGGTACTTCTAAAGTTTCGATCGTTACAAAAAAAATCGCGAACGCGAGGAAGCCCTGCGAGATTGTCTGGAAACAAGTCCGATGTATTGTGTTGTACCTGTTGGCACGCGACGGCTTTAAGGTCACGTTCGGTTTCGCTCGGCGCAGTCGAGAAGCTCGCTCACGAACGTGAATGGATTCGTAATTGTTTGTCAGTCTTCGTCATTCGTGCAGACCTTGAGAGAAGGTAAAGTGTTCGCGGAAAGTGTTCGGATTGGTAGTACTTGAATTCCCTGGCGAGATGGAAAAGAGAAGCATAACATGCATTAAATACCGCATTATTTAATTATCGTATGTTTCGAATATTGTAAAAAGTAATATTGAAAATAAATATTATTTGTTAATTCGTCTATTAAAATAACAATTGACAGAATGTTCGAAAATTGTTCTGTAGATTTAGAAAAATAAAAAAATGAAAGAGTTGTATTTCAGACTTCCAAAAGTTAGCTTAACAGAAATTTGCGAATATGTAAAACATATTTGGGAGTAAAAATTGTAATTCTAGCAGACAAATCATATTTACGAAGCTAACAATGAGTAATAACTTTGAAAAAATAAATAAATCTTCTTTTATGCGCCTATTTGTGATGTTTAATTAATATATTTAATACATTGCTTTTCAAATGTATCCAAAATTTATTCTATAAATATTTTTCCATATTTTCAATTTTAAGAAAACTGTTTTTTTTCTTTTTGTTTCTATTATACTATAAAAATATCATAAATATTTCGTTGATTTTTGTGTAGGTACGCTGTAAAAGAATATGTAATTCTATAAAATTGTTTATAATATACTTATATATTATTTGACATTTCATTTTTACTCGTAAATCGAGTTTTGCGAATCACAGTTGTGGTTTATGGGAAAAGAAATGTAATTGAAAACCAAAACGGAAGTACTGTTGTTGATGTTCATTAATTCTCTCATATCATTAAGGTACCTATGCTCGCGAACGTGAATAGTTTCTAATTATTCTCCGTGTTGTCTGCATTCCTGCGATCGAAAGCATGTGAATATTTCTCTAGTCTTCTGTCAGATGATCTGCAGGAAATGAAAACGAGAAGTGCTGACGTGCATAAATTACGAAGCCGACAGCGCTTCTCTTGACGCTTTAGCGATTGATGAACGTAGGAAGGCTGCAATACACGCGGAAGACATTTTGAATATCGCGCACCGTTATCCTGCTATTGAAACTCAATCATGCATTTTGCATCTCGCAGCCATATTACGCATTATTTAAGCAATATTCCAAGTTAACGCGAGAGAAACAGAGTCTAAAATTAAAATCAATGTAGGTATATAAAGAAAATTTGCTTACATATTATTATAAACAAATTAATATTTAGAAGATCATCCCATGTTTCCTCTCCAGATCATAAAAGATCTTGAATCATGAAATATGTATAACGTAGCGTGCTTAAAAAACGGGACGTTACTATGTCGGAACATAAAAATGTCACTGCTTTAAAAGTTTTAAGATACAACAGAATATATTTTACTAGCTTAAAATGTTCCGAGTGAAAGAGAAAGATATTTTTAGGTAATCAAAATTCGGTGCCACAAAAAGACTTGAGGCTACGTCAAACCAGCGGCCTCAGAAATTCCACTTCTTCAGGATCGTCGCAGGATGTTCGCGATGCGACATCCAGTCCGAGGCGACCTGCCAGCTATGTGCATTCTTCTCAACTTCCTCAAAGGTGTGAGAGCTCAATTAATACATTATAAATTATATTTGACTTCAAAGTCAATTCTTGCAGAGACGTAAAATTCAGTTTTTTGAGATAGCAAACAGATGAAGCTATTTTCTTTTTTTTTTTTTTTAAGATTTTGTAGCTTTATGTATAAAAATTTTATAAGGATTTTGAGATATATTGTCTCTGTTATCTTTTGTGTTTTATATTTTTATTATATTTCGTAGGATTTAATTAAATTCTTAATTAACTTTTAATTATCCTTTGTTTCAGGAGATCCGTCCATTATCAGTCAACGGGCTCTTTGCATTCGGATAGTCCGAGTAGTAGTAGTGTTTCTCCGGTGCCATCGCCAAGTCCTAGAGCTACACCACTGCCTGTAGCCAGGTAAGGCTATATTTAATTAAGACTATATTTAATTAACTAATCTAATTAACTTGGCATAAATATATAAATTCACTGTAAAAATCAGATTATTATCATTTTATGCCATAAAGTAGAAACCAAGCTAGAAATTCCGAACGCAAATAAGTCCATTTATATAAACAATTCTGAATCGATATTGCAGCAATTTCAATTATATTTATCGTTAGTGCACTTTTATTAATTGTACGTTTTCTGTATAATCGCAATAAGTATGCGCATGTGTGTCTGTGCTTCAAGTATCGCTGCACCAAGTAATGACCCTCTTAGTACCGATATATATTTCGATGTAATTATTATTACGATGCTATGCGACGCGTAAATGTTATGCATGGCGCTGTTGTACGAGGACTGAATTCGATGTCTTAGATCGCCCACGGCAAGATCAAACGGACCGCCGCAAAGTAGTTTAAGAAGAGCGAAGAGATGGTCGTCCACCGGCGATTTTACACACTCTCCGCAAAACCAGGGAAGCAATTCCCAGCTCATCGGCACCAGGTTAGCTCGCGGCTAATGATGTAACAGTAAAACGCACCGTTTGCTTGCTATTTGTGATTTTGTTCACATCTCGCTGATTATACACGAGTTGAATTTTTTGTTAAACATATAGTCGGTTTTCTTACTTTCTTTCTTGGACGATCGAGCGCGTTTTCCCGTCAAAGCCATCGTGTTTCATTGACGAGCAGATTATTATTGCCTCGTCTTTTACGAGCTCTTTTACGCTCTTTTTTGCATACTTAATATATGCAGTCGAACATTGTTTTTTCATAGTTAATAACACATTTACTTAAAAATACTTGTAAAAAATAGAAGTTGTGGATTCTGCAATAGGCAGAATAATATTAATGATAAATTCCTAAAGATTTTGTGGTAAAAATGAGATAAATCTACAATAGTTTACTTTGATGTCTAAAATTGCATTTATATAAATTAAAGATTTAAAATTCCTTGAATTCCAATTAAAATCTAATAAAAGTTAACGAAAATTAGCCAGCATTTTGCCCGGAAAAAAAACAAGATTCAGTATTGTTCTTCAAAAGAATCTCTTTGTCGATCCATCAAAGCAGGAAAACGTCATCTTTGTCTTTCTATCTTTTTTCTCTTTCCTCTTCCTTCTTATTTCGTTTTTTTGCACCGCATGGTTTTCGTTTGCATTTTCATTCGTTATAGATTATCTGCGTCCACCAAGTCCCTGTTCAACCTGTTCAAGCCACCGGCGATGAACAACGTCAAGCACGGGTAAATAATAGCAAGTACTTTAGTTTAGACAACTTATATATACATACATATATATTTCTTTTCGTACTTCTTTTCGGCTTTATGCACCTGTATTTAGGTGACTCACGTGCTCGCCCATATTTAGGTGATGCACGTGCGCACCGGGACAGCCTTAAGATACTTTTGGCAGGTGAGCGTGCACGGTAAAACCTCGCTTAAAACCTACGCGAGTTAAACGCACGTGTAGCATTTCCTGCGGATTAGCATATATGATATACATATGCGTATGACATATAATCTACGATCGGCGGCTGATTGATCCTTTATAGAATGAATAGTGGTTTATATCTATTTATAAGTAAACACCTGGAATTTTACGATATACTCCAAAGAAGGGTTCACGAATTTAATTAACGCTGTTAACGCTATCAAATGCTAATATTAATTATTAAGAAAATATATTGCTAATTTTTAGCAAACAAAATTCTGAAGTAACTAGATTCCATTTGAATATTTTCTAAATGGTATTCAGCATGTTATATTTTATTTTTACTTATCTAACTCGTAGATGAATGAGAGATCCTTCAACTATAAAGATAGATCAATCAATGTTTTTTGCATAAATTAAATTGCAAAGAAAATTTGCTTACGTTAAATTTACGATATACTCCAAAGAAGGGTTCACGAACTTAATTAACGCTATTAACAGTATCAAATGCTAATATTAATTATTAATAAAATATATTGCTAATGTTTAGCAAACAAAATTCTGAAGTAACTAGATTCCATTTGAATATTTTCTAAATGGTATTGAGCATGTTATATTTTATTTTTACTTATGTAACTCGTAGATGAATGAGAGATCCTTCAACTATAAAGATAAATCAATCAATGTTTTTTTTTGCATAAATAAAATTGCAAAGAAAATTTGCTTACGCTAACGAGTACTAATTTCGAATTGTTTGGCAATTCGTTGAACATGTTGCCAGGAATGCCTGTCAAACAGGGAGTTACCGTGCCGCACGCGTTTGCATGTACATAGTATAGCACATATTATCACTGTATTGGCATGCCGTTAATTATCACGATACGTGTTACTTCCGACCTTCGCTATCTCATGCATGCAAACATCGCGCCCCGATATGATGCACGATGAGGTTTCTTATGAAACTGTGGAACATTTAGCTCGTCAAAAGTACATCAGTTCAAAGAGGGGCGTGCATACCTGATGTGAAAGCTACATTTTAAATTTAAATGCCATGCCTGGAATTGTTTCATGTCGTATCTGGATCGTTGGTTTTCTAAACGCATTTCCATAGAATTTATATCGTTCGATATAAGATATTTGAATGGTATTTCTATCAAATATTGATATGTATATTCAGTCACAATTGTTTTGTAATGTAAATCAATATAGTAATAATTTTGATATAATTTTATAAATACATATTGAAGATATACGTGTATTATCTTCCATAATTTAAATAGAATTAATATATAAATTAATAGATTTTGTTCTATAAATCTTTTTCATTTTAATGGTATGTGTATATATAGATGAATTTTATAATTCATTAAAATAGTTATTTATTATTTTAATATATCTATGATCACACTAATTCTACATTTCAGTTTGTCATAGTGTAGTAATTATTTATAATTACCAAAAACTATAAAAATAAATATTTTTCAAAAAGAATAGAATTTTGATAGTGCTGTGGAATTTATAATATATATATTAATACGATTTTTATTAATGGGGCGAATTTAAAGTAACGTCGCTTTTTGTCGACATTTCCGACGTGTTCGTGATGCCGTGACGTCGTACGCACTAGGAAACGCAACATGCACGGTTATGCAAGAGTAAAAATCGCGATTCACTTTCTTCGTTAACACAATAGCGTGCTTCGCACTAGGACATTAGTCGAGTCACGTGATTCGACTATTATACCTGTTGCCTTCCCGCATGGTTCAAAAATGCAAATTCGGAAGGCCCTCGTCTGCTCATTGCATTATTACGGCCGAACACGAACTTCATTTGAATATCGATCAGATTGAATCATAAACATAAAATCATGAAAATTTATAAATACGCGAGTTTTTTTTCAAGCGTGATTTGTCTCTGAAATGTACATATTTGTAACATTAGAATTATATAATCAGAGAACAGATGTTTTATGAAAATTTTTTCTCATATATACATAACGTAATTTGCATCACAAATATCGATTGGAAGTTTCATGTTAATAAAAGGTTTTATATAACTATATTCGCAAACATTACAATAAACGTGAAGGCAACAGTAACGAGAAGGCATTGACTTTTTGCAAGAAGAAAAATTTGGTCAAGGTTCTTCATTTCTTCATTGTGCATCGCATTGACTCGCTTTGCTTGTCTGCTGCTGCATCTTTCCACATACACGCTATGCGTTGTAACGAGAACACTTGAAAAAAACAGGATCATTGCCGTCAGAATAGAAATCGCGAAATTTGTAGAAACGCCTTTTATGAGTTACAACGTTCGAGATTAATTAAGAGATTAAAAGTTCGCACGAAAAGGGCACTGTTTACTCGCGCTTTACGAAACGGCCCTTCTCGTTCCCAATCGAGTCGATCGTTAAAACGAGGCCCGAAGGACCTTGAATTAATCGCATCTACTCGGCACGAGCAGACACGGGTGTGATATGAAAAGTATCGAAAAAGAATTCAGAACTGATGTAACGCCGGCGCGCAACACGCTTCGCGGAGTAATAAAGCCGAGCTCATTACTTGCGTGAGTCATTCGTGAGTCGTGGTTACCAGACCACATCGACACGGAAAGTCCGACAGATTCTCTCAGTATAGCGCGAGCAGTGCGATCAAAGAGTGCGACCGGTCTGTGAATTTTCGAGCAAGATCGCGAAGCTCTCTTCATGGGAATTCGCACGGAGGTGAAGAACAGGTCGTCGCTATTTGCAACAAAACGTGAGAAAAAAAACAGCTTGTCGACTCTCGTTTTTCTGGGATCATTTTCTTGCAACTGCATGAATTAGAAATCATATATCGAGGAAAAGAAATCTCTGAAAAAATTTCTCTTGCGAAGAGTATGATTTGAGGTGAAGAAGGGAGAAATCTCTGTGAGAAATTTATCGCTGAAAATATCTTCACTTCAAATTTTTTGATTAAAAAATAAAATCTGAGATAATTCCGAGGTATAAAGTTAGACGTATAAGGACGAGAGACAAATGTAAAAACGAACGATCTTTTCGCAGCACCAGAGATATGCAGTACAACGAAGAGGAGGGTACCGTTCGCATGTATTTGCGCGGCCGACCGGTCGTCCTTTACGTCCCTACGCCCATGATAGAATCCTACGATCTTCACAAAGTTAGCACACCGCCGCAAAGTAAATTGAAGCTCGACTGGGTCTACGGATACCGAGGACGAGACTGCCGGAGCAATTTACACCTGTTGCCAACTGGCGAGATCGTATACTTTGTCGCGGCCGTCGTTGTTTTGTACAACATGGAGGAACACTGTCAGAGGCATTATTTAGGCCATACGGATGATGTTAAATGGTGAGCAAAAAACAAACAAAAATATGATACATATTATGTGCAGATAATCGAGATCTTAAAAAAAAAAAACAGTCATAAATATATTTTATAGAATATATTTTTTATATTTTACATTATTTTATTTTATTTTGATTTGAGTTTAAGCTTTATTTATTTATTTCAATAAAACATAATAGAGAAATGGCATTTATTTATAATGTTAAAAAATAAAAACACACGTGAGTGCTTTATGAATCTCTTGCATATGATGAACGAGATTTTATGGGCAATCTATATAAAATAATATTAATTTGATATTTTGTTTATAGCTTAGCGATTCATCCTAACAAATTGATCGTCGCGACGGGACAGGTATGCGGAACGGATCGTCGAGATGCTATGGTAAAGTATTAACAAACGGAAAAAATAATACGTTCTAATTACATGTAATTAGATGCAGTTAAATGACATCGGCATCTTGAATTTTAGCCCCACATCAGAATATGGAACTCTGTGAGCCTAACAACTCTCAGCGTAATCGGCAACGGCGAATTCGACGGATCAATTTGCTGCCTGTCATTCTCGAAGGCTGACGGCGGAAGTTACCTATGCGCCATCGACGAGACCTCCGATCACAATATATCGATCTGGGACTGGCAAAAGAGCGACCGTGGCACCAAAGTGACGGAAACGAAGGTACGCGACAAACATGCGACGATTCGACACGCACGTAGTAACAACGCGACAAAAAATCCTTGCGAAACGCACACATAAACCTATCCGTTATATCGCGAATAAGCACGATTCGCGTATATTCTGGCCGGAAGCGGGCCATTTAACGGCCAATGACTGCCGATTGCAGTGCTCTGTCGACACGGTGGTTTGCGCCGAGTGGCATCCGTTGGAACGAAATCAGATCGTCTCCTGCGGAAAAGGACACGTGTCGTTCTGGTCCTTGGACAATGGTGGTATGCTATACAAACGTATGGGCGTCTTCGAGGGTCGGGATAAGCCCAGGTACGTTACCTGCGTCGCCTTCAATCAAAACGGCGACGTTCTCACCGGCGACAGCAACGGCAACATCATTGTTTGGGCTCGAGGTAGGTTTCCTCAATGATTCTCGCTAATTTCTTTCTTAGGAAAGATATAATAAAATTTCAGGATTTCAAGAACGTTATGAATATAGACAAAAGCCTACAAACAATTAATTCAATTTTTCTTTTTTAAATAAAAATTGTTTTTTAAGTAATATCTTTGCTTATCTATAAAATTAAATAAGATCTTCAAAATAATATTGTTAAATAAGCATGGTGTAGAAAAATTTCAGGATTTCAAGAACGTTATGAATATAGACAAAAGCCTACAAACAATTAATTCAATTTTTCTTTTTTAAATAAAAATTGTTTTTTAAGTAATATCTTTGCTCATCTATAAAATTAAATAAGATCTTCAAAATAATATTGTTAAATAAGCACGGTGTAGAAAAATTTCAGGATTTCAAGAACGTTATGAATATAGACAAAAGTCTACAAACAATTAATTAAATTTTTCTTTTTTAAATAAAAATTGTTTTTTAAGTAATATCTTTGCTCATCTATAAAATTAAATAAGATCTTTAAAATAATATTGTTAAATAAGCACAATGTAGAAAAATTTCAAGAACGTAATGTGAATATAAATTTTTCTTTTTAAAATAAAAATTATTTTTTAAATAATATCTTTGCTTATCTATAAAATTGTAAGTCTTATTTCATGTTTTATTATAATATATAGGTACTAATACAGTCTCAAGGCTAGTGAGGAATCTCCACGAAGGATCAATTTTCTCAATATGTGTTTTGAAAAATGGTAACATTATCACGGGAGGCGGAAAGGACGGTCGGATTCAACATTTTGACGCATCCTTGAATTTGACTGGAGAAGAAGCCCAGGCAAGTCCGAGAGATTTGATATTTTTTCAGACGTATATGAACTCTCTTGTTCAATTCGATTTATACACAATATTTTTTGATAAAATAAAATAAAAGTTATTTATTTCATAGATTGAAGATCATTTTGGAGGGATTCGAACGCTATCGGAAGGAAGGGGCACCCAGTTGTTAGTCGGTACAACGAGAAATTGCATTCTCGTCGGCGACGTTGAAATGGGTTTTAATCCAGCTATGCTGGGTCATGCCGAAGAAGTTTGGGGACTTGCGGCCCATCCGACTTTGCCACAATTTGCAACCGCGGGGCACGACAGATTATTGCAGATGTGGGACAGTTTGAGCCATACTGTGGTGTGGAGCAAAGACATTGGGGTATGTAAGCGTTTATTTATTTAGCAGAAATAGAGAGCACGTTTAAACGATAATTAGAGATAGGAAAATATTTTTTAAATTAATGTAGAATAAATTACGAATTTATAAAACAATATAAATAATTAATCTTAATTAATATCGTTTTTGATTTTTATTTCTTAGGAAAAATAAAATATGTATAATTAAAAAAAGAAAAATAAAAAATACTATCGAGACATTTACAATAAAACCTAAATTTTAATAGATATTTAAATTTAAAAGCAATGTAAAATAAAAGCATATAAAAAATTGCTTTAATTGTTGTCTTTTTGCGTTTTATTTAGGAACAAGCGCAAAGTATCGCTTTCTCACCGGATGGTAATATCATAGTTGTCGGCTGTATGTCCGGGAAATGGCTTGCTATTGATAGTGAGACACGAGAATTATACACACATCACAGCGATGGTTCGGAACCTATTCAGGTAAAATGCCCCATTGTAGTTTAATAAAAATTGCTCCCAATCAATTTCTGTGAAAATAATTTGATCATATTTTAATTTAAATATATACGAACATAATAAGTGTAACGTAATATGATTGAATTTCACGATAGAAAGTCATTTTCTTATTTTATTTTATCGTGCTTATGATTTTCAGGTTGTTCAATTTTCACCCGATGGTACTCTACTCGCACTCGGCTCCAGAGATAATTATATTTATATTTATCAGGTGAATGAAAGTGCGATCAAGTATGGCCGAGTCGGACGGTGTATGGTAAGTTTTTAATAACTGTGTGTTATTATAGTTATTCATATCTTATTACATCTCAATAAAATTGTTCTATTTTCTATAAGTAAAATATTTTTTAATCAAACTATTTTGATATTAAAGATAACAATCGTATCATTTATAAATTGAATAAAATTATTTAATAAAATTTATTAAAAATTATTTCTTTATTCTTTTTATACGATAAAATCGTATCTGTAGCATAAAATAATTGATATTTGTTATATATATATATATATATATATATATATGTTGTAAATTGTAAAGAAAAATTAAATGTTGAGCACAGATGTATCTCTCTGCAATTAATAATCAATCACTAATTGTCAATCTTTATTAACAACTCGTTGACTTACTACTGACTTAAAAATAACTTCAAGAAAGCTATACTACCATTATCGATTACTTTTTCCATAAAAATATAAGCCTTGTTTTCTAGATGTTTTAGATTGTATATATTATATTATATATATATTAACAATTAATTGTTTGTAAATAATTGTTGCAAAAAAACTGTAAATATGTATATGTAGCATCTGTAGCATTTGTAAATATAATTTTTGCAACTAACAAACATGATAAAATATGGTTTATCGGTAAATTGATTGACAAACCTTACGTAGTTTTAATATCTACTCAAAATCATTCTTTTCCATTTCTAGCCAAAGCGGATTCGAAGGCACGGAGTAAGACTTGTGTTTCGGTCACTTGAAAACGTAGAAAGGATGTCGTGTTGTGCGCGTAAAATTGCTTTCAAAAATGCAATTTTCCGTAAAACAGCGCAACGCGATGTACCTATTTTTTAATCTTACACACGAATAGAATGTCAATTATTAATTATGTAGCGAAACTTTTATGTGATTACTTAGCACCTGCACGCACCTTTAACCACTGCTTATGCATAAAGTATTAGGATTATATTATAGATAATAGAATTGTTTGGTTTTAATTTATTATACAACATTGTGTAATATTAACACATATGACATCAATTATTATAACTAATTAACACATATGACATTATGACACTCATATGACACCAATTATATTTAGAATTTTATAGTGGTAAAAGAACACAAGAGATGCTCGCAATTTATTATAACTCATTTTTCATCAAATTTATTATAATCATATGTGTATGCGATATATATAAATGTATGAATTTTCTTTCATTTCAGGGACACTCGAGCTTTATAACTCATCTAGACTGGTCCGTGGATGGTCAATATTTACGTAGTAACAGCGGAGATTATGAATTGCTCTATTGTAAGTGAAGTTATTTTTAATATGAAATAATTTTAATAATTAATAATTTGAATTGAATTGAGTACAACTCATGAAAAAACTCAAACAAAATAAAAATGAGAGAAATAATAAGAGAAAATAGCTGATGTAATAATGTACGTTTTATAAATTTCTGAGATGACCAAAACCTTTCGTTAAAAAAATTTAACTTTTTCATGTATCATTGTATTAGTCTATTTTAGAAAATTTTTTTTATTTGGAATTTTTTCTATACCATATCTCGCAGAATTTTTCTGCGTGAATAATTTAAATTTCCCATACGTTCGTTTGTTGCATGAATCTTTTTCTGAAAGTTTTTACAAGTATTATAAGTTTATTATTATTTGTAGAGAATGCACAACTAATGAATTATGAAAGAAATTTTTTGTAGAATAGAAAAAATATACAATCGGCAATCATATCGTTATAATTAAGAAGATACTTCTTTGATTCCTTGATTATGTGTATTTGGGATAAATTTAGTAATTAAATTTTGATATTCTACAGGGAATCCAGGCGTGTGTCGTCAAATACCGCAATCTTCATCGTTAAGAAACGTTGATTGGGCAACCCATACCTGCGTAATATCGTTCGAAACGATAGGCATTTGGCCGGAGGGTGCCGATGGAACTGACGTGAATAATTGTACACGAAGTGGCGACGGCAAGCTTTTAGCTACGGGCGATGATTTTGGAAAAGTCAAGTTATTTTCTCATCCAGCATGTCAGCCGAAGGTAGTATTTCAATTATTTAAGGTGTATTTCAATTATTTTATGTTAAATTATTTTATGTGCTCGCATAAAATCTCTTAACACTTTTATTCGAAACTATTAATATGCATGAATTGCATTGAATATATATATGCATTATTTAAATAAAATATTTGATTGTTTTTTTTTTCAGTCATTATACCATTCTTATGGTGGTCACTCGAGTCACGTGACAAATGTCTCGTTTCTGCAAGACGATTCTCGATTGGTATCGACTGGCGGCGCTGATACTAGCGTTCTCCAGTGGATAGTTAATTAAGCAAACCGTCCGGAGCGAATAATTCCTACAAGTGCACTTCAAAATCGGAGAACGGAAAAGAAACGTCATCGTCGCGCCGCTTAGAATTGATGATACCGCACGATTGCGATGATACTTAATTGCGACGACGAGCCACGTTGTGGGTTCTATGTTCTTAAAAAGATCAAAAATAGAATTATCCTGACGCTTCGATTTTCTAATCATCAGGATACCGTCCGCTGCACGATCTGTTTAATCGTGATAAACCCTTCTGTTTTTTTAAGCGGATTCCATCTATATAAATATGAAATCTTTTCACGCCTCTATTGTCATCGGACGAGAAATATTCAAAAATGTTTTTCATACATATATTTCACATTCATACATACATTTTTCATAAAACACCTCAATACTCCGTGTATGTAAATGCGTTTCCTTCTCGTATCAGTGTATGTGATAGCATTAATGTAATATTTTTCATACCATTGTGTCTGACATGCACAACATTAATGGACAAGTGCCTCTGCACGACCAACATAGCTACCCTGAGAGCGATAAAGCGGCGTATTTTTTGTTAATATATTACAACAATTTTTTTAAATTTTATTCACTCAAACAGAGATTCTTATATGCGACGCTTTGCTGATTTATTTTTATTTTTTATTATTTTTTTGCAAATATACTGCTACTTTAACATTTTCAAATTTTTTTTGATAATTATTGACAACAATTCTGAAAAAAATTGTCAACTTGTCAACGTAAAAAAATCAGTATTATTTTTAGTTGATTTCGCATGCATACACAAAGCTCTTAGTGAATGATCTTTGAATATTTCCAAATAATACGTAAATAAATGTATTTTTTTCATAAAAGTATGTGTACATTCATGTACTCAGTATGTCGTATATTAATTAGTGAGTAAAGATATTGAAACAGAAATGATTATAATGTCTAAACAAGAGAAATACGATTGATTTTTATTTAAAACATAAAATTAAATATATGTTTGTTTAAAAATATAAAGTTTTTCTATTTTATTTTATATATATGTACATATATACATATATATATATGTACTGTATATGTACATATAATATATACATATACATAAAACCAGAGCGAGAGAGAAATAGACTACTCCGAAATTATAAAATTATATACTTGAAAAATTTATCACATATATCGTTTTGCATATAAAGAATCATGCGACATATTATATTTGTATACGTATATGTTATATGCGTAATATATTCTTAAAATCAGGCTATATATCTTAAACATGTCTATGCAATAGACACGAAAGACCCAACGACGAAATTTGAGCAAAAGAGCGTACGCTTCTTCAAAAGGAACTTTATCGCGAACGAAGGACAAAGATTTGTCACGGTCAAAAATTCATGTGAAAATCTTTTTAGAAAATCTTTTGCGAAGGGCCCCATGAAAGAGCTCGAAACGGTCTCTCGAAAAAGAGATCGATTTTCACAGTACCGTAATATGCCGTCCACTATAATGTACGCAGCATAGTTTGTAACTCAATGCGGCAAAACTGTCATGACGAATCGGAATAGTACTGATGATTGACACAGAAACTAACAATAAGTTGCATAGAAAAAAAGGGAAAAATCTGAGAAGATAATATATATAATTTTTCAGTCTGTATAACAAATCTACATACGAGAGAATCGCGCCGATTTTTGGCCTTTTTCATACCTTCTTTGCTTTTCTCTCTTTTTGGTATGAACTATTTTACCAAAGTGTAATAAAGCAAGAAGAAAGAGCATCTTATTTTTCTTGATTTTCACTCATTGTCAACGTGTAAGATATATCTATATATTTTATTTATGTCACGGTAAGATGTGCGTGTATGCGTATACATATATTATGTATGTACCGTCAATAAATCATCCTCAAAGACGTCATAAGACGTCTAATTTGAAAGTAATGTATAAAAAAGGATAATTGACTCTACAGTATTAACATAATATAAGAATTATATTACAATAATGAAATATACGATGTTAAAAAACAAGTTTTATATTATACATGATAAAATATTTGCAATGTGTCAACAGTATAGTCATAGATTCAATCAATAAATTGTAGTAGATTGGCGTTAACTATGCAGGCAATAAGTTTATATTCCGTTGATAAAAACTGCAGACGACAGATTGATAGTAAGTTGAGCAGATCTGCTGTTTTATTGTATAATCGTTTAAATAACACATCAATCTAGAGTCTCTTCTTTCTTATTGATACAATTTTATATTTATTTCGCTTATATATTTAATTTAATACTTTTGTTAGTTCATTTAGTCAAATTATCGAAAATTATTTTCATTATAATCACTCTCTTCGCTTCATTATTTTCGTTTGCTTATTTATTAAATTTTCTCAAAGGAAATATTACTATTTGAAAATATTTAGAAAGAATTTCAAGTTAAAGATTGACATTCTTTAACGTTTAGAAAGTGTAGATCAGAAATGTTAATATTAAATAGAAAAATTGCAGATTGATTTTTAAATGAATTAATTACGTATCGTCAACTACTCTGAGTCAACAATAGATTGCAGCTGATTTTGATTGTAGATTCCAGAATGTGTCTTTTTACCATTTATATTTAAAATAATTTATATTACAACTTCAAATTTCGTTTAATTATACATTTCAGAGGAATAACAACATGTCGTCTTTTAAATAATTAATTCAAATAATATTGAAATTTATCTTTTTATTAATAAAGCTTTTAATTTTAATTTATATTAATTATTGTTAAAAAGCTAATTTCAACGCTTATTATTTTATATTGCCTCAAAGAATAGTTATTAAATTAAATATAAATCGTTTCTATTTTTGCGAGTCACAAGAATAATGACAAAATTTCGAATTCGTCACAAATATTTGAATAGTAATTTTTTTGATTTAAGAGAAACATGCATTTTAAATCAAAAGCGGTGAATGTGTGCAGTTATTTAATACCGATCCGTAAGATCATAAGACCCCCCCCCAAAAAAAACGCCATGAAAAAGGTCAAGGTTGTGTGGGAACGAAAGCGTATCCCAGTTCGCGTAACGAATTTTCCAATTTAATTGCATCGCATTCGAAAAGCTGTTTTAATCGAGCTCTTTTCGCATCGAGCACCTCTTTCCGGCTGGGTTTACTTCCTGAGGACGTGACTTCCTTCCACGGATGATGTAGAATTTTAGAGACACATACAGTATCGATAATTACTTCCGCTTCATTCGCTTTCTTCGGCCTAGAGACGAAGGTTAATATCGCGACAATTAATATAATTTTTGCAAAGGTTTAATTAAATTTAAAATACCCACTAAATATACAGATTATACAAAAATTACCAAATTAATAAAATCGGCAGTAATTTTTTTCAAATAAATATTAAGTTAACAAATATTAATCTGTCAAATTTGTCACTTTTTATATACAATGTTTGCTTATTCCGTAAATATCGCAATGAGTAATTGTTTGAAAATGCGAATACGTATGTGTCCGATAAATACTAAATCACAACGCGCTTTATTATTTACACTGGCCGTTAAAAACGCCAAACGCTGCGAAAAATGAAATGGAATAACCTCGAGACGAACGTGGCGGAATCGAGATACGATACGATCATAAAATTTACGTTCACGCGAAAGAGAAACTTACAATATTGTCGGCGTAACGATCAGCGCCTGAGATAGTTTGTTCGCAGCATCAAGCGACATTTCTTTATACGATTACAAAAATAAATGTCTAATGGTGAGAGTTTAAAACAGCCTGGGAGGATTTCATGGGGCTGACTTCGGCACGTTCACTTCGAAGGGGACCTTCGAAGTCACTTTCGAAAATAACTTCGTTTATAAGAACGACAGGATTCGACTTCGCTCGCTTTATAAATAATCTTTCTTTGTTCGACGACTGTTACCAACAGCCATGAATGAAACTCAAAACTTCGTCCCCTTCGTTCGCGTTTTATGACCGTGCGCTTTCTTCAACGAGTATTCGACGAAATTATACGTTAATTAATTCTTTGCGTGACTAAAACATAAAAGGTGTGTATATAAGAATTTTTAACCGCAAAACAATTTTCTCTTAAAATTTAGTATTGTAGAATATGAAAAATAATCATTTTTGTAATAATCCACACTATTTGAATCCATAAAATCATATTTTATTTTTAAATGCACAATTTATTCGCTGCTTTTTAATTTATTTTATCAGGATAAAAATCAACTAAAAAAGTCTGTAAAATATCGATTGTCAAAATGTCATCATATCATTAAAATCATCAGTACATATTTCGGTAATTAATTCCACGTGCGTATCATATATTACATAACGTCATATTTTCGAGGGAAATAGTGATTTAATCTCTCTGTCGTAATATAATGATTTCCAATGCACAATTTCAAACGAAAATGAATGAGCGCCAACACGCAACACGTTCGGAGGGAGGATTCGTATACCAATAAAGATCATTTATTTTCCGATCGGGGCAAACGTGATTGCACACGCGAAAAAATGACGACGACGCGACGTCGTTACACTTCTCAGATTTAATTCGAGTCGATCGAGGCGGTCTGCTCGAGCAGCCTCGAAACAACACATCGCCGTCTCGTCGGGCAGTTAAGCACTTCTGGATCCGCTTGGCCGTTCGGTCCTTCGAATCATCGATCATGGTTAATTGTATCCATCGTTCGCATCGCCGATATCACCCTGTCATGCGCTAATATATTATGCACGTTTATCGATCGGGATCCAAATGACGTAGCGGAAGGAAAAAAAAGAAGGAAAGAGGAGAAAGATAGAACATTGAGAAAATATCAAACAGTCATTTATCGATTGTGCCAATTGAGAGAGAAGAAATTAATCGACGCGTTGCGAAAGAAATGCAACAAAAAAAAGAAATCTCGTCGGAGATGACGTCACGATTGTGCCTCGATTCATGTGCAAATTTCAGATTCGATGTACGAGATAATTCGCGCGTTGAGAGCTCATTATCAGAAATTAAAGAGTAATTTTTTTGTAACGACAACTTTTTTTATATCCTGCGATACCAGCAAGTCTTGCGCGATTATATAAGCAAAGCCATTATATCGGGTTTCTATCTCCGAAGGAGCGGAATTATACTTGTCAATTAATGTAATTTTAAATTATTACAAGCAAACACAGAGATATATTTTTTTTCGAATATTATTTCGCGAGATAAAAGTGCAAAACTTTCCTGAGAAAAATATATTTAACTGTTATTTTAATTATTGGAATTACTCTTTAATTTCTTTTAGTACAAGATTATGCGATAGATGTGAGACACATCGAGTTTATCGAAATTGTGTCGAAATTTTAATACCCGACTCTAACGATGCGGAAAGTTAAACTCGACATGCCGAGGGAGTACGCATAGAATTAGAGCGGAAACGGCAGTGAAAATCTTGCGAAACCAAACGAAAGTATACGCCTAGAAGACAATTCTATCGTTTCGTCAATGGTCTCGCTCAGCGCTCATGACACAGATATAACCCGAAAAATTGAGAAATGTATTGAAAAATTCGATATTCTCTTGGAAGATACAAAATTCTATCTGTGTACGACAAGTTGAGCAATACTTCCAAGTAATTTTATCATTCTTTTGCAAGGAATCATAATAATATACGAAAATGCATTGTTTTAAAATTTTAAATAATCTTTAAATTAA